AAGTGGTGCTGGCTCCTACCCTGGGGGTCTTTAAGACAAGGCTAGATGGACACCTTGCTGGGGTCATTTGACCCCAGTACTCTTTCCCGCCATGGCAGGGGGTCGGACTCGATGATCTGCTCAGGTCCCTTCTGACCCTAGAAACTATGAAACTATGAGTGGGATCACTGAACTTGGAGGTGCCCAAAAGACAGCAGGGGATAGCCTGTGTGTGCTTTACTGCAGGATCAGGGCCCTAGCTCATATGCCCTCAGTTACCAAGTATTATTCCTTTAGGAAATATTAGAACTGCCAACAAATATCAGCTGTTTTTCCTCAAGCATTACCTGACCTGTGGCCTCATATCAAAAACTAGTCTACCCCCTGGAGATAACATTTTTAAAATCAGCCTTTCTGAAACCTAGCAAGAAACAACACTGATAAGAAACAGACAGCCACCCATTTCATGTTGCTTGAAAATATGTTTTTCTCTTGCTGATACACAGTTGTCTTTATATAGCCATGAATATTTTGGTGTGAAAATGCTGTCTACAGTTTACAAAATTGATCCACAATCTTAGTATCCAAATGCACAAATGTAATGTTTGTTAGGAGCACTTCCAATTTAATGCTTGATGAAACCATGCCATTCACACCTGTTTATGGAAGCCCTTTTCCTTCCAGATTTGTACATTAAAGTACTTGCTGAGATAGCGAATCACTTTCTTAATGCAATTAGGTAAGTCATCTCTATAAACTTTGCTTGCTCAAATGTGGTCCCATAAAAGAAATCAGACGAGCAGACATTTTGCCAGTTGGTGGAATGAACAGCTAGAATTTGATGGCCAGTATGCTGTCTCACTCCTATAGGACAGTCAGAATTGCAGTTCTCTCTTTGGGATTTCCATTTAAGTGGTTAATGAAATGCAATGTTAAATAAATCTATGCGATTTAGAAGGCCACTGCCATTTTTTTCTAAATGTGGTGCAGAAAGTCAGTTAGTTTCTTGTAAGAGTAAGAAATTACTTTTAAAAGGCTGAGAACTGTCTTCTCCACATATTGTCATTTTAATGCAAGCTGCCTTTTTTAAATGTTTATTTTACAGGGTTTGGGGGTTTTTTGTTTGTTTGCTCGTTTTCTAGTTGGTGACACTTTCTTCAACACTTGGTAAGACAGACCAAAAAAAACATACTGGTAAATCACAGTCCAGCTCTAATATTAGGCTACAAACACTTCAATTAAAATATTAATTTTTTGTCATTTCTGGTCTGATGAAAATTAAAACATAGAAACCTTCGTTTAAAATCAGCTGTTCACAGACACCCAACTTTCTTACGCACACGTATGCTGACAAGGAGGGTCTCTGCCCATGTGGGCGTATTGAAAGCTTCAGGAGAGTTGCTGCATAGGAACAGGTTAGGCAAACTTAATCATTCTCAAACTGTCACACATGAGCGTATTAGCTATTTCACAACAGCAACTGAAATCTCTACCTCTGTGTTGCTTTCTGCATACGGACATATCACCCTCACTCAAACGGCATCCGAGTGTCTGTCTACACTGATACGCAGTGTTTCCTCAACCAGCCCAAGCCTCAGGAGCAGCCCCTCCCTGTCTATATGTGCCTTGTGCCTGCTAGTCCTGAAGGAGAGCCCTGCAGTCTGCTTGTCCCTCCTCCTGGGATCAGCTGTACACTGGCAGTAGAGAGAGGAAGTGGGGGCAAACCTCACACCCAGGCGTGGTGGAATTGCTACTGGAAGGTTTCCTGGACTTTGGGCCCCTGGTACCCAGGTGAGCTGAGGGCAGGGTAGCCTTGGTGGTAGTGGCAGCAGCACCTTGACCTTGGGGCCGGCCAGCCTGCTGCCAGTGTCGAGCATGGAGGCTCCATGTGTTGCCAGGTGTGGCCTCAAATCAATCCCAAATTAGCAGCATTGATGAACTCCCAAGCATCTCACAAGCCACATTTATCACTGCAGTGTCCCCATGCAGCAGAGAAATACTAATTATCTTACAAATGAAACTGTGGTCAAAGTGGCTCTTTCAGGAAAGAAATGCAAGGCCTGGCCAAGTATCAAGCTCAGACCAGAGTCTGAGGACCAGACTGGGCTTGGAAGCTACACACTTCTGTTTGTTTGTTAGAAATACCTATTTCTAAACCCCTGGTTATTTTAAAGAAAAGTAGACAATACTCTTCTAGGTATTTGACAGTTTTTAAAAGTGTAGGTTTTGCTTTACTGTGAGAGGCCAGGCTTTCTCTGCCAAGTGAGGAGAGCCACAATCTCCTTCAAGTTAGCACCTCAAGTTTAATTTCTGCCAGCTTCAGAGAGAGATGATGACCCCACAGGAGAAGTCAGATAGAAGTTGTTTTCTCCAATTCAAGGCAGGAGACCCAGAAAATTAACCTGTTCCTTCTAGGGACCAATATTTGCACACAAATAATACCCTGAGAACCAGGGTGCAGTGTTTTCAGACCTAGGCCATGGCATATTAGCAGCCAAAAGAGCTTGATCAGAAATTGTTGGTTTGCTGTTATTCAAGTTGGTTCTAGAGAGCAGAATGAAACACTTGGGATGCATTTTTAGCAATTGCTCACAAGAGGGAGCTCGGAGAAAGCTTCAAGCTTTCCCTACATTTGAAAAAAAAATTGAACTCTGGTTTCTGCAAACATTTACATTTTCAGACTCAAATTTACTGTCAAAATAGTTTTCACTTCCATGTTTTCTTGGAATCTAAAAGTAGGTATGTTCATTGGAATATATATCTCATAAATAGATGACTGATCTCTCTGACTCCAACATGAATTACAAGCTTTAGAGTTTTAAACAAGCCTTTTCATTTTAAACATTTTATGACCATTCAAAAATTAAGGATTTCTGAATATACCTTTAAAGGACAAGTTAATGATGGCAATAGCTGCACAAGAACCTTTCCTTCCCTTTAGAATAGGAAATCTGGAAATACTGTTTGTCTTCTGCTTGCTGCAAAGCAGGTATTTTTTTTAAAAAATAGTCTTTCTTGCTTTCTTAGTAGGCAATTAAATATATCACCTTTTTGCTTTATCATATTAGCACTTGAGGGTTTAATTGCTAACAGTTGAACACCCTTTGCATTTCCACTATCTTTACTAATAATAAAACAATTAGAATAATTTATGTGCACATATGCTATTAGAGTGGCTTTGCTAAAGGAGCTATTTCCAGTTATTCGTGGGCATTAGGGTTCTTTCCCTCCCCACTCACAGTGACATGTTTACACTCAGGGAACACTTTTAAATTTTTAATAGAAAGAATTCATTTAATTAGGTGAAGTGACTTGTTTATGTCCAGGTTGTACATTTTAGTGTCTTAATGAAGAAAAGAGGAGATGCATTGATCGGGTTCTTTTTCAGTGTGGCTTATTTAAGATAATTGTATGTAATGCTTAATAGGAAATTCATGTCTCCCAATTCAAGAAGGCTGATTGGAAAAAAATAAGCACAGGTATGTTAATTGAAGAACAAAGCAAATTCCTTGTCAATTCCTGGTGCAATGGCTGTTGAATCATTTTGCCAAAAAACAGAATTCTTTGGACAGGCTGTTTTAAATCAGTTTATTTGTAAGGTAAAAGTATAAAATGGGGTCAAACCTCTAACAAATTTTTTGATCATATTGATAAAACTGTGACTATTACTGGAAAATTTCCTCTTTTTTAATAGCTGTTGGGATATTTCATCCTTGAACTTTATTGCCAAAAGATGCTTTTCTCATTAAATACTGACCCTGTGGAACTATTTGTTTTCAAAGAGAAATAAGTATTTAGGATCACTTCTTTGTCATTTGGTATTAAAAATGAAGCATGTAAAAATGTGTTCTATTTATTTCTCAATATTTTGGAATGCACCAGGAATGAGATGCGATGAATCTCTTGGTAGAGACATAGTGGATTTAATTTAAAAAAAAATGTTTAGATGATATCAAACTGATGCTACTTTATAGACTTTTCATGGTTGTTACAAAATAAAGCACAATAAGTTTTATCTCATAATAGTAACTGTATCCATCTATATAGTTACCATATATACTATATAAATATTTTTTTTCTGTTTACTTGCTGAGTAATGAAGCAATTAACATTATACGTTATGTTTAAAAAGAGGTATGTAAACCAGCCTGAGCAGCATTTCAGCCTTGGTGTGTTTTGCAGTTTTTACTTCCTACAGCTAAATCTGAACAGTTTGTCTCCACTGAAACTACTATTCCCTTGTGGACAGGAAGCTAACAAATAGGCTTTACATAAAATGTTGCACAGCAGTTCTGGACAATGCATAAATCTTGATATGACAAGTAGCAGTTCGCAGAATGATTGTTTTCAGATTGTTTGCTAACCTCTAGATTGCAAATATGCTCAAAAGCACATGCTGTTGCTATATCCTCTATATGTAAAAATGAATCTATTTTGGGAAATGTTTAGGTGCAGGGACATCAGAGAAGACAAAAAACTTCCTATTAGCAACTAAGTTTAATATTAGATCTTTCTGGAGTCTTTGTTTGTTTGATAAGAAAAACTACCTCAGCCGTTAGTTCTTATTTTCTGATTGTGTTCAGACCTCAAATGCTAAACATTTCAAATGGTAAGATCTCGCTTTCTGCTGCCTTTTCTCCATTTTAGGTTAAGTTATTTTAACAAGGGAATTGTGCTGCCCATGAGTTGTAGAGCTGCATGAATGACAAGGCTGAGGCAAGAGGAAAATTAAAACCTAACTAGGTGGGATTTTATCTTATTTTTATATTGCTTGTGCAGTAAATGATAAATTGATGAAGAAGAGTAAGAGCAGATGCATCAGGAGAAAGTTTTTTCTGTTTCTATATTTGGTGATTATACTGTGTTTTAAATAGAAGTTATGGGAATTGAGGAGCCAAAAGTTTTGAAATAATGAACTGCAGTAAACTAACTGATGAAGTAACATTTTTCAGGGATGCCCCATGTGTACTTTCATATGAATGCACACAACCGAAAAAGAGTTGAGGGGGTTGTCTGATTATTTTTTTCTAAATCTGTACTTAGTGTATTATGGATAAATTCAGGTCAAAGCCATCAAACCTTGAGATATCTAAATGGCCTGCAGAGATGTTTCTTTTGACTGCGTAACAGAAATCAGATTAAAAAGGAACCAAGATCAAAAGCAGAATGTCTTTCAGAGATATTGGGAGGTAGTTTAATATTGGACGAAGAAATTTTGTGCGTATCATTAAAAAAAATGCCAAAACAAACTACTAAACACCACAAAGGGCTAAAGAGTATTTTTTAAATCCTGGCCATACTATATTCAGTAGGCACTATAAAAGTTTGCTTCGTGCCATACAAATATTTGGGGTTGCTGGCCTGAGACATTCATAAATCCTGGAAAGATCCAGATGGGGTTCCTCCAGGGTTTTTAAGTAGTTAAGGCCTAATTATTTGAATGGTGTTCAAATACCTTAGAGAACCTGGGCCTTATAATGTTTGTTCATAGCCTCATTTGCACTGGTTTACCTTAAAGTAAGATTTTAAAACCGATTTATTAAAATTGGATACTTGTTTATTGAAACTCAGAAGGAGATTTAATCTAAAACTTAAATGCAGAGTTTTTAAAACAAAACAAGAATTTCCACGCAGGGGTTTGGAGCAGTTGAAGAAAACCCATACAAATCTGAGCACAGTTATGTCCCAGCTACCCTGTTTTCTACTCTTCATAATGCCCTTGATATTAATGGGAGTGGTTTCAGGACTAAGCTTGATTTACAAGCATTTAAGGATTGGGCTCTTAATTAAACAGCTACAGAATAGAGCTGGTGATGTCAAAAAACAAGAGCAAATGCTAATGCTAACAGTTGGATAAAACAGAACAGCACTCTATAATTGTATGTTGGCTCAAATGAAGAGCTCTTATTCTGTCCTATGAGCAGCATTGTCTTATTCAAACAATAGTTTCATTATTAGGTCACTTCTTTTTTTTTCCTGTATCACTGACTGGTTAACGCCCTTCTTGCAACTAGTATGAATAATACATTGAGCAACCACGTTGACTATTCCTGATATTATTTTACATGACACTTAATAAACAAGAAAAAAAATACTTTCCCCCACCTCTAGTTTTATGAATGTATTTCTAACAGACTGAAAGTGCCCTGATCTAATTTAAAATGTCTATTTTGATTTTTAGTGGTGTACAAAGCCGAGTGAAAAATAAACTATACAGAAGGGAGTTACCAATGAAATATGGCTGGATCTGAGCAACACTCTCTCCCTCCACTGACAACAATTGATTTTATTTTGCTGTATTTCCAGCTTGAAGTATTTACTTTTACAACATTTCTGTCCTCTCCCCTTCCCTTTACTGCATTCTTTTAATGTATGAATTAACCTTCATTTCTGGTAAATTTTGCCAACTGAAAAATGGTTATGTACAACAGAATGCAGCTTTTTGGTCACTACTGTCTCTAAGCAGGACTACTCCTGTTGTCCTCTTGGATCTCTGATCACACATTTATTCCATGTTGTTAAATCTGTCCTATTGCACTTTATCATAACACCGTCTCTGTTCGTGCTTGCATTTGGAAAACTTACCAGGTTAGGAAATCTTTAACTAACTTGATGCTAAACCTAACTTAATAATGACCAGAGACAAACAGCACTTAAAACATGTCTGATGATAGTCAACAGATATTTAAAGATTCTGTTTACCCACTTTAGAGAAGACCACACATTTTTTTGATTTGTGCAAGAATATTACTAATAAAGGTAGGTAGTACACTAATCACTTCTAATTCATTAGTATGAATTAGTAGAATGCATTCATTATTAGAATTCATTTGTATGGAGGCTGCTGGGGGTGTTATTAATAAAGAGACTAAGATTCAGGGTTCTTGGATTCTGTTTTCATCACATCGATGGCTGTCTATGTGACTTTGGGCAAGTTGCTTAACTTGTGTATGCCTCAGTTTCCCCTTTTGAAAAATGAGGACCATCTTCATTATATAAAGCTTTCTGAGATTCTTAAATTAGAGGAGTTAAATTAGAGTAAATTATGTTTATTGTTTTAAAAAAATCACTTATTCCAGTTGGGATACTAGATTGTTTTATTGATTTTTTTTTTTTTTTTTTTTGGTTTTAGCTTTTTCC